TTGGCCTCAACATTGCCTTACATGGTCTGACACTGCATCTCAGAAAACACCTGTCCTCTGCAGTTAAATATTGCAGATAAAGTAGGCTACTGGGCTTTTTTTCAGCCAGAACTCACCGGAACTCAGTTCCAACATCTCTCAGGTGGGCGCCATTGCAATGATAAGGGAACAAGAGAGGCATTTGTTATGTACTGAAGTTCTCACCCTGGGCCAGCAGGGGGATACTGTAGATAGTTATGCAAATAAGGGATCAAAAGTGACGTTCAGTGATTGGATAGTTTTAGAAAATTGTTACAGTTACATTGTACTGGAGCTCTATATAAGCAGGCTGACTGAACCCTTCAGTTCCGTTCTGTCCTGGCCTGTGAATAAACAAGAACTGTTTGAAGAATCGCTGTGTCGTCTGATATGTTCACCCACAACTTAACAACATTCATGGTGAGTTCCAGCACCTCAAAAATAGCATTGGTTGGGGAAAGTGACTTTCTGTGAAGTTTGTCTTCTGTTAATGCCCCTTTCTTTGAGATCCCCGATAAACTTCTGAGCAACCTCAACGTTCCTAGAACAGAGTTTGGAAGACACATCCCCTTTCCATCAAAACATGTCTTGACCTTTTGTGAATATTGCAATCCGCCCTCAATCTTTTCTGGTCAAGTATGTTTAGAACTTATGGAAGAGGGAAACCAAAAGAAGGGCAGGGAATCAACAGCATGAAGAACTACAATGAACAATCTGTATTTCCCAACATGCGTCAATCGTTCTGGTCAAATAACCTAGCAACCATGTTTTGGACATACTGAGAAAGGAAAGCGTAGGAAAAATTATAAGTAAACAGCTTGAAGGACTATAATAAACAAATCTGCAAAGCAGCTTTTAGTTTACTTTCGACTAGTGCAATGTCCTATGGGGTACTGGCTGCAGAGCTAAATCTTCCCCTGACTGCAATGAATTCAGTCTCATTTGTCAACCAAATGTTGGTTTCTTTCAGAATGGTTCCTCCTGTTTGTAAGCTGCCTTCTGTTGTTAAACATCTTCAACTCCAAAAGAAATTTTCTCCTTTAATGGCTTTGATGTTTTTTAACCCTAGCAGCGATTAACTATACAGTCGTACCTCAGGTTAAGTACTTAATTCGTTCCGGAGGTCCATACTTAACCTGAAACTGTTCTTAACCTGAAGCACCACTTTAGCTAATGGGGCCTCCTGCTGCTACCGCGCCGCTGGAGCACGATTTCTGTTCACAATCTGAAGCAAAGTACTTAACCCGAGGTAATATTTCTGGGTTAGCAGAGTCTGTAACCTGAAGCGTATGAAACCTGAAGCATATGTAACCTGAGGTACCACTGTAGATCATGTGTGTGTGTGTGTGTGTGAGAGAGAGAGAGAGAGAGAGAGAGAATGAATTCATAACAGAAGACAGATCAGTGTGTAACATGAACAAACTGCCTTTTCTCAATGTTGAATGTACACCTGGCCATAATAATCTGAAAACCTCAGAAGCCCTAAAAGCCCTAAACGGCCTCGGTCCAGTATATCTGAAGGAGCGTCTCCTCCCCCATCGTTCTGCCCGGACACTGAGGTCCAGCTCTGAGGGCCTTCTGGTAGTTCCCTCACTGCGAGATGCCAAGTTACAGGGAACCAGGCAGAGGGCCTCCTCGGTAGTGGCACCCGCCCTGTGGAACGCTCTCCCACCAGATGTCAAAGCGATAAACATCTACCTGACATTCAGAAGACATCTGAAGGCAGCCCTGTTCAGGGAAGTTTTTAATATGTGACATTTTAGTGTATCTTTCATCTTTGTGGGAAGCCGCCCAGAGTGGCTGGGGAAACCCAGCCAGATGGGCAGGGTACAAATAATAAATTATTATTATTATTATTATTATTAGAAGGGAAAGCAAAGGAGACTAATGGCCAATTTCCATTCCTATTGCTTCTCAATATCTCTTGTTTCTAAATCAATACTGACCTTACCGGGAGGAAAGCTGTGCTTCTGCTACACAAACCATGAGGGTAACTGATACATATATTCTCCCTTCCCCAGTTAAGTAGTTTAATCTTTATATGAGAACTGGTGGATTGTCTCGTAGTAAGCATAAGGCAACATAAGGGCCATGGACCACATTTGTATGTCAAGGTTTTCCCTGTGTCCCTGGCCAGACCTGCAGCCACACTAAGTAAGTCCAGGAGAGCAGCCTTAGTAGGCTGGATGAAGCCCACACATCTGATCTGATTTTTCTTGCTTTCAAAGTTGATGTTTTCTTCTATATTTGTACAAATTGGGACTCCTACTCATCATTGAGTATTTTTATATATTTAAAAGTGACCTTACTTTAAGTAAAGTTGCATAGGAAGTCAACCTGAAATTAAGGAGCAATGTTTTTGTACCCTTTCAACTGGGAATTTGGACCAATTCTGTTTTCTTTCCATTTCTAACGGCAACATGAATACAGAGATGGGTACCGTATAGAAAATAGGCAGACACTTCCTCTTGCAGTTCATGGCCTTTGGCCCCATTTTATTGCATCATCTCTTAGCTGTCGATGACACACCTGGTGAAGTCCAATGGACTCTGGTTCATGAAAGCTTACGCCATGGTAAATGGGTTGAGTCTTTGTGGCTGCAATCCTAAACACGCTTTACAGTGGTACCTTGGGTTAAGTACTTAATTCGTTCCAGAGGTCCGTACTTAACCTGAAACTGTTCTTAACCTGAAGCACCACTTTAGCTAATGGGGCCTCCTGCTGCCGCCGCACCGCCAGAGCACGATTTCTGTTCTCATCCTGAAGCAAAGTTATTAACCTGAAGCACTATTTCTGGGCTAGCGGAGTCTGTAACCTGAAGCATATGTAACCTGAAGCGTATGTAACCTGAGGTACCACTGTATTATCTTCTCTTTGAACATGGGCTTCCCATAGGTACCAGCTTCCCTTCTGTGGGGAAAAAGGATGTTGGGCTCGATAGCAACTCTCTCCTTACCTTCTTTGCTGGTTGTCCTGCAACAGACCCCCATGGCTCCCTCTCCAGAATTTTTAACAAGCAGGAAGTGGCTTAGTTTATTATCAGTGCATCAAAGTTACTTTTCACGTAAGCAATGGTATAGATAAGGCATCCCCAACCTGCGGCCCTCCAGATGTTTTGGCCTACAACTCCCAAGATCCCTAGCTAACAGGACCAGTGGTCAGGGATGATGGGAATTGTAGTCCAAAACATCTGAAGGGCCGAAGGTTAGGGGTGCCTGGTGTCGGGATCTCCGCTCGGCCAAGCTGATAAAGCTCATTTTCTTCCCCCGAGTCTTTGGAATCGCCTCCTGACGTGTTTAATGACCTGAGCCTTTGATAAGGCTCCAAGGCACATTCTTCAGCAGAGTTTCCAGCACAGGAAAGAGATGAGAGGTTTGGGCTACATTGTAAAGAGTTTTACTTCTAAGCTACGCAGTCAGAAAAGACATACTCTCTCTATGGAAGCAGAGAGCAACTGAACAAAGGAACAAAGGAAGCAGGAAACCACTAAGGTCACATCCCGTCTCCTCTCCCGTGAGACTTCCAATAGTATGGAATCCCAGGAATGTAAACAGAGTCCTGTGACTCCAAGCAGCTGCTCAGTGGCAAAACAGAAACTAACACCTGGTATAGATCACACACAAATATACCACACACACAAAACAGTTCAGACAAGCAAGAGGCGGATTTCGGGCAGTTCAACTGCTTCCCCCGCCCTGGGTGCTGAGCCTAGGGGGGGCCGCAGGGTGCCACAACTGCAACATAGTGAATGGAGCAGAATGGAAGGCGCCGATTGTTGGCCTCGCACAGGACGCTGCAGAAATCTGAAAGACCAAAGTCTGCCCCCAGACATGCCTACCCAGAGGCTTAGAAAGTGGACCTAATTCTAATCTGCTCTAGCAGTGCCTTTTTCTGGGGTATTCAAGGGTACACAGTACCGGCACCTTCACCCCCCCCCAGTCAGATTGGTAGGGCAGCCCAGTCAGATTGGTAGGGTACCAATAATAAAATGATGATGGTGATAATGGTGAGTACCATTAACCCTCTGTTCCCTCTGTTTAGGGAGGTTTTTAATGTTTGATGTTTTATCATGTTTTTAATAGTCTGTTCGGAGCTGCCCAGAGTGGCTGGGGAAACCCAGCTGGATGGGCGGTGTATAAATAAATGATTTATTATTATTATTGACACTTTCTCCTCTTTTTTTCCTTTTTAAAAGCACTGTGTCAATATTTTAACTTTTGTATGTTTCCCTTCCCTCCCCCTTTTATGAAGATTACCCGCTCGGGGATCCCACAGCTACCGGTAATTCTCCCCTGGTCTCCTTGCTGGCCCAAATAGGACTAATTAAGCCAGCTAGCCCTGGTGATCATCTAATGTTTATTAGATGGATTGCCCCCCAAATTGATTTTTGAATTCTGAATTTATTGTTATTCACGTTTTATACTGTATTTTATGCTGTTTTTTGTAGCATCAATTAAGTGTTTTAAATTTGTTGTTAGCCGCCCTGAGCCCGGTTTTCTGAACCGGGAAGGGCGGGGTATAAATAAAAAATTATTTATTTATTTATTCTCGGTTTTGCTTTTTTAACACATAAAGTAGTGTAGGTATACACTTTATGAAATAAACAAATGAGGAAATAAGCGGTTCGGGGCATTGCATAACTGGTCCTGCGATTAAACCTGCACGCTAACTGCTGCGATTTCTGGGGTTGACATATTTTTTTAAAGAGCCTCCCCAAAAAGAGGACGCTGCGTCGGCCATTCAAAGCAAACAGATGCGCTTTGTCTTCCATTTCACCCCTCGGAAAAAAAGAGGGCGCGTCCTGGGAAAAGAGGACACATGGCAACCCTCGTCCCCCTCTCTCTCCTCGGCTTCTTTCAGCTGCGCAAGGAGGAGCCAAGAGGGCGCGGCGCCGAGAGGCAGGATCCGCCTGTTTCCTCCCCCTCCGCGCCCCTCCTCTCCTCGGAGCCGTGCGCGCATCGTGTGCGCGCTTGGAGGAAGCTGCCCGGATTTGCAGCTGCCTGGCGTCTCGCGAGAGGAGGTGGAGGAGGAGGAGGCTGCCCGACGGGGGCCCCCCCTCTCTCTCCGCCCGGATAAATTGCCGGCGAGGCTGGGGCGCGGCTGCGGAGCCGACGGGGCGAGAGGACCAGCTGGGCGCGCTTGACGCACACGAGGCAGCCGCTCGCTCTCCTCCAACAGGTGAGTCGCCTTTGCCCTTGGCCGAGAGGAGCCTAACCTGCGCGTCTTTGCAATGGGGGGGATGATAATGATGATGGTGGTGGGGGACTCGGACGCGCCTGGAGAGGCTGCGGGAGCCCAGGGCGCAAAGCAGCAAGCGGGTCTGCGCGCATCCTCGCTTTGCAAAGGGACCTCGAGGGGTCGTCCGGTCCAACCCCGGGCTCTCTCGCCCGACGCGGGTCTCGAACCCACGACCCTGAGAGCAAAGAGTCCCACACTGCGAGCGGGTGGGTAGGTGTCCCTTTGCGCTTTCTTGCTCTGCGTCTTCCTTCCTCTCCATCTTCCGTTTGGAAAGCCCCGGGAATGATGCGCAGGGGGCCGTAGACAAGGCAGGGCACACCCTGTGTATGCTTACTCCGAGGTAAGCCACACACACACACGCGAGTTGGTTGGGGCTTACTCCCAGGTAAGTGCAGTTGGCAGCCTCTTTGCCCGAGGGGGGCGGGACTGCAGGGCATCTTCTTAAACCCCTTTTTTCCCGTGAGGAAAGATCTCTCTTGAGGATGCAGGAGTGAGTGGAGAGGCTCTACGGGACGGCAGCAAGGAAATGCAGGCGCTCCCCAAACGCCTCCGTCGCGATGCTTGGGGAGGTCTATAAATGTACTTTCACTTCTTGCTGGCGGATGCTGTGCCGTCACTGAACTGGAGCCATAATTGGGTGGGAAACATTTCTGTCGGATAGGTCATCATCTTGGCAATGTAGGTGGGGGCAAAGGACAATCGGAACAGAGCTGTGTGATAAATACAATGCAACATAAGCAAACAGAACCGAGATAGAATCTGCTGCTTAAATAGGTTTGGTCCCATTGTTTGGAGGAGACCAAGCCTGTTTGTTTTCTCTCCCTCTCTGCTAAAAGCTGCGTTCAGCTGTGTAACATGCAAGCTGCCTCAAAGCCTCTAAATTATCCTATACTTGAAGGGGCCGAGAGGCAAAATTTGCAGCTGTTTCACAGGGTTCTCTGTAGGAGAGGTTTAGTTTGGTTGCTTTTATTTACACTGCATGAAATATTGTAGTTGGGTTACAAAAAACTGTTGTGGGTGAGTGAGCATTTTTTAATTTGAAAAAGCTCCCTGTGATTTTTGGAATTCATTGTCTGTTGTCTGTAATAACTGTTTAACCAATGCATCACCTGTACTGTACTATATCTTAAAAAAACACCTGGGTTTTGAGTGCTTGGTGGTCCTTCAAGTATTGCACCGAGACTTAAAATGGGAAGCTTAAATGCCCCTAGCATGGTGTGCTCTTTCCCTTTTGCTACCTTTCGTATGAAAAGGAATCCTGCCTGATACTGATCAACTTAAGAGAGGCATTAAGGTTTTTTGTTTTTAAGTTGCTTTGTAATCATTTCTGCAGCAGGATAAAGTTTCACGAGAACTGAAATGGAAACACGTCCTGTCATTTCTGTGTTACAGAAACTCTTTAATAGTGCATACACAAAACGTTTCAAACACACCCATTCAAACCCACCCCCCACTCCTAGAACTGTAGTTTATGCCTGTATTTCTGGCACCCTTAAATTATAGTTCAAAGGATTCCTTTCACGTAGAGGAGAGAGAATGTGCTTTAAATGTACAATGTGTCCCTGGCTGAGAACAGATTTCTGAATCCTGTTTGGTTTTGACCACAGCCTGCACCAGCCATAATCATGGGATGATAAGAGTCATGGTCAAAATATCTGGAGGGTACGAACTCAAGGATGGCTGAGTGAGAGGAATATTCCAGAGCAACTCTGTCTTTAATAGACTAATTATGTGGTTTCATAATACAGATGGCAGTTCTGTTTGCAGAGGGAGAGTCTCAAAACCAGCAGTGGAAGAAGGGGAAATTGCAACGTGTTAAGCACTTTATTGCTACAGAGGGAACAAACAGTCTCCCTTGTTCCATTTAACACAACTTTGACAGTGGATCCACATTTGATAACTGTGGATTCAACTTGGCTTTTCTTCACTCATTCTTGTAACCAGAGTTTGATGCAGAGCTTTCAAAACTCTCCATGTTGGCGGCACACTTTTTAGACATGCATCATTTTGCGACACAGTAATTCAGTTTTAGTAGCAAACCGGAGGTTAAATGAACCCCCTTTCCACACACCGACACACTGCAGCGGACATGTCGTGACACACACAGTCTGGAAAGCTCTGGTTTAATGTCTACTCTGAAGGCACTGTTGTTTGTTTAGTAACTTAGTAAAGAATACTAGAATACAATGCTCAGCTTCCACTTTTCAAATCCCAATTTAAACTCTTATTTCCCTAACTTGTTGCTACTACGTTTTGGCTTGGAAAGTGAGGCGAATTTTTGGACACAAGAAAAGCCAAGTGTTCCCAAGGTTGTATAGAAATTGGCTTTGCCAGAGCAACCCAGAACATGTCTCTGCTCAGTTCAAGCATTACTGAATAAACTAGTGAATTATAATTTAGAAATAACGGAAGATATCCAAAATAGTCATGCTTTAAATACGCCCATTGAAATTGATACTTAGTACATCAAGTTACTTAAGCCTATTGATTTTAGCAGGTCTATTCATGAGTATGACTCACTGGATATTGCCCACAAATTTTATTGGCTAGTCATATTTGTCCGGAAAGAAAATGCTTTCAGATTTGAAGTTTCAACCTTCCATATTGCATAAATGGAAAGCGTTTTAATAACGGAACAAGCTGAGCATATCTTAGCGGCTGCAACTTGTCAAAAGGTTAGGCTTTGTTTCAAGCCTTGCATTTAACTTGTGCTTTCTCTCCCCTCCCCCAGACTCTATAAAGCATTCAAGGCCCAAACATGGCGGAAGAGAGGACTGATTCACAGCAGGTATGTTTGCATGCACCAAAAATGTTCCTGACAATTTATTCCAGAAGAAATGTGAGCTAACTGTCCTGTCTTCTGCATAAACAGAATGTGGTCGCCAGGGTTGCCAACCTTCCCCTGGTGAGCTCCACCTACGACATGGTCTCCTCAGCTTACGTCACCACGAAGGACAACCATCCCTACCTGAAGTCTGTATGTGAGATGGCGGAGAAGGGTGTAAAGACCATTACTGCAGTAGCCATGACTGGTGCTCTGCCTATCATCCAAAAGCTGGAGCCACAAAGTAAGCCCCGACTCTTGGAAACCCTTTTCAGCTTGCAAAATTCTTCCAGAGGGAAAAAAAAAGACCAGGTTTATTAGCAACAATAAACAGGTTCCCAAGCAGAAATGACAGCCTGGGAATACAAGTTGGTATTCGTTTGGAAATGGCTGTCGTTTCGTAGGCTGCACATTCAGATGTGTAGGCAGCATGGTAAGATCCAAAGTCATCTGTGATCCCTCTAGTGGAGTGCATTGGGAACAGTCAGGATCCAGTGATCCTCAGGCATGCACCTCCAAATGGTGGAGCTGTCAGGGCTCCATCCTGGCTCCCAGGCACCTTCAGGTGGTTGCAAGGGACCAATAGCCAGGTGCCAAATGCGTCTGGCATCAGGCGAATTTTGAACACTGCCACCGAGTATAATAATCTCACGCAGTGTTCGAAACTCCCATTTTTCTTGGTGCATTTTGCGACAGGGAATTTCATTAGTGTGAAGAAGAAGAAGAGTTTGGATTTGATATCCCGCTTTATCCCCTAAGGAGTCTCAAAGCGGCTAACATTCTCCTTTCCCTTCCTCCCCCACAACAAACACTCTGTGAGGTGAGTGAGGTTGTGAGACTTCAGAGAAGTGTGACTTAGCCCAAGGTCACCCAGCAGCTGCATGTGGAGGAGCGGAGACGCGAACCTGGTTCCCCAGATTATGAATCTACCGCTCTTAACGACTTTTCTGGGTGCAGTGCAGTGGTACCTCGAGTTAGAAATGCCTCAGGTTACAAACGCTTCAGGTTACAATCTCAGCTAACCTGGAAGGGTTACCTCGAGTTGAGAAATTTGCCCCAGGTTGAGAACGGAAATCGTGTGCCTGGCATTGCAGCGGCAGCAAGAGGCCCCATTAGCGAAAGCACGCCTCTAGTTAAGAACAGTTTCAGGTTAAGAACGGAACTCTGGAACAAATTAAGTTCAGAACTAGAGGTACCACTGTACTGTGCCTAAGTTATCAGATTAAAACTGCAGAGCGGAAGGAAAGGAGGATCTCTTTCTGCCTCCCCACTTCTAGCTACTCTCTGAAGACTGGGGAAGAGACCCTCTTAAGAACATTAGGGGGTTGGCAGGGGAAGGACTAGACCATATGAAAAATGAACATAATATTTTAGCTGCAGTTCATTCATTTTCAGCTTTGAATTCTTGTTATTAAAAAAGCGCGCCTAGACATTCCGTTCTTGTGCTCATATCCTAAGTTTAAGGTGCCATTTAGCTCCTAGCTTTCATATCTCAGCTTCTAACACTGATCTCAGGATGGTTATTCAACTACTTGTGTGCTGCTTAATTGCTCCAGTGGTCAGGGATGATGGAAATTGCAGCCCAGTGACATATTCAGTTGTCAGCTTACAAAAATGCTCTGCTCAGAAGCCTTGTTGCTTTTGTAGAATGCCTAAAATGTTTTCACCACGGGCAGAGTATTTTGTTTAGCTTAGTGGAAGCACACTCCCTACAAAGAACTGTAAAGGCCTGCCTTAAATAACAGCTCATTGCGAAGCTACTAATACCTTTCATAACGTTTATGGGCCACTGTGGCTATAAAGAAGCTTTCTGGACGAATTGGGTGCGAAGTCAAATAAGATTGTGACTTGTAAGATGCACAATGAGTCAAAAAAAATCCTCCTGGCTCTAGTTTCTCACCCTTCACCCACTTCTAAGTTCTGTCTCAGCTTCCCCTTTCGCCTACTTTCTCAATGTCTCACAGTTTAGAAACTTGGCACTTTGCGTTTTGCACTCCCCTGCTTGAGTGTGTCAGCTTGTTCGCGGAAACCTATTCTTGCGAAGTGGCAGAGGGCCAGGAGACCCTCTTTTATCGCTTTCCGAAGGAGCTCTGAACTTGCTAATGAGTCATTCATGATGAACTTCGTCCTTAACGTGATACACCAGAATGCTTCCTGTTTCCCAGCAGTTCAAAGAAATAAACAGCTTCTGATTAACTTCTTAAAATTGCAAAAGCTGGCCTAACGGTCCTTTAATGTTTCCAGTTGCAGTTGCCAACAGCTACGCTTGCATAGGACTTGACAAAGTCGAGGAGAGGCTGCCAATACTTTATCAACCAACTGATAAGGTAAACTATTTAGAAAGATTTTAATGTGGCTTTTTCTCTCTCGTTGGTTCGAAGCGGAGTTACACATGACCTGGAAAAAAGGTGCCAACTATAGCTGGGTGCATTGGAGAGGGGGGGACTTCAGTGCAGGAAACGAAGTAGCCCCGAGGCACGCAGGATGGTACAACTTACTTGGGATACCTGCCCAGTGTTTAATCTACAAACGCAAAAGTCCCTGTTTTATGTATCTGTTGAGTTCAAAGCCCTCTCCTGCAGCGCTTTCTCATTCACCTCTTCTTTGAAGGAAAAGGTCTCGCATACCTATAGGCTGCTCACTGGACACCTAGGGTGGTATCCAGTGCTAGTCCTACTCAGAGTAGACTCACTGAAATGAAGGGAATTAAGTTAGTCATTGCCATTAATTTTAGTGGGTCTACAGAGTAGGAATGGCCAGTGGTGTTGCGTCCTTTGCTGGCGCCCGGGGCACTGCTCTGCTTGCCCATCCAAATCATTCACCTGGGGCTATGCCCCCCCCCCCGCCCTCTCCTCACTACGACCTTGGGACTACCAATATTATTACTTATTTATTGAATTTATATACCGCCCTATACCTGGAGGCATTGGGGCGGTTCACAGAACAAAACCAAAATATAAAACCACAAAATATATCATCAAAATAAAAACAATACCCACCCCCACCCCCGTGCAAAAAAACCCCACACCAAACATTTTAAAAGGGCATCAGGTGTCAATCAAATCAACCAAAGGCCTGGTTAAAAAGGAACATTTTCGCCTGGCACTTAAAGGTGTGTCATGAAGGCACCAGCAAACTTCCCTGGGGGAGAGCATTTCGCAAACAGGGAGCCACTGCAGAGAAGGCCCCGCTCTCGTGTTGCCACCCTCCAGACCTCTCGAGGAAGAGGCGCACGAAGGAGGTCCTCACCCATGTGGCATTCTGTTTTGTCAAGTAAAAGCCCAGTGTTACAGCTCCTTTGAAGACTCTAGGCATTGGGGACACATTCCTCCAAAGTCTGCATGGCGTACACAAAGTGATCCAGAATCTAAGCTGGTTGCATTGTCGGAACTCAGGTTTATGTTTGTTCTCCCCCCCCCAAAAAAAAAAACCAAAAAAAAAAAAAAAACCAACAGCAAGCAGGAAGCAAGCTTTTTTATTGGCTTACTGATCTTGTTTTTTTTTTTTTGGGAAACCATCAGGTTGTGCAATGGGCAAGATTCTGTCTTGTTTTATGCTTGGTGGGGGACTATGGGAACTCACGATGAATTTGCGAGTGTGTGCCAGCACGCCGCTCGTTCTTAATAAAACTGTATTTTTAAACTCTGGCTGAATGTGATGGGCAAACTGGGCCCATGTGATTTATACTGAATGAGTTGCATCTTGCATTCAGCTAGCAGTGAAGAATCTGCAACCACTTTTTCTAGGTTGTCGCTAACGCAATGGATGTGGTTGTCGGTGCAAGGGATGTCGTCGCAACTACCGTGACCGGTGCCAAGGATACTGTTGCACAAACCATTAACGGAGTTGTTGACAAGACAAAAGGAGCCGTCCAGGACAGTGTGGAGTTGACCCGGTCAGTGGTCAGTGGCAGCATCAACACCGTTCTGGGAAGCCGGGTGCTGCGTCTGGTGACCAGTGGGGTGGACACTGCCCTCAGCAGATCAGAGACCCTTGTAGACCAGTATCTCCCACTGACGGAAGAAGAACTAGGTAAGTTCTCCTAGAACAGTGGTTCTCAACCTGTGGGTCCCCAAATGTTGTTGGACTACAACTCCCATCATCCCTGAGCTCTGGCCTTGCTAGCTAGGGGTGATAGGAGTTGTAGTCCAACAACATCTGGGGACCCACAGGTTGAGAAAGGCTGGCCTATAATATGGGTAGGAAAACTAAGGCCCGGTGGTCGGATCCGGCCCAATCGTCTTCTAAATCCGGCCCGCGGACAGTCTGGGAATTAGCATGTTTTTACATGAGTAGAATGTGTCCTTTTATTTAAAAGGCATCTCTGGGTTATTTGTGGGGCATAGGAATTCGTTCAATCCCCCCCCCAAATATAGTCTGCCCCCCCCACAAGGTCTGAGGGACAGTAGACCAGCCCCCTGCTGAGAAAAGTTTGCTGACCCCTGTCCTAGAAGGTCCAGTCCGCCAGGTTACATACCCTGTTATGAAGATTGTGCTATTTTTCATAAATAAAAACGAGGGGGAAATACATTTGCCAAAGTTCATTGGTTATGAAGCCAATGAAATGTGATGCTATCGTGTATTACCGTATTTTTCGCTCTACAAGACGCACCAGACCATAAGACGCACCTAGTTTTTGGAGGAGGGGGAAAAAAATATTCTGAATCCCAGAAGCCAGAACAGCAAGAGGGATCACTGCGCAGCAAAAGCAGCGATCCCTCTCACTGTTCTGGCTTCTGGGATAGCTGCGCAGCCTGCATTCGCTCCATAAGACGCACACACATTTCCCCTTACTTTTTAGGAGGGCAAAAGTGAGTCTTATAGAGCAGAAAATACGGTATTTTTCAAGAACAAGGAAAACATAGTTTGTGGGTAGAACTGGGCCACTTGATGTTCATTTGACCATGTGGTTGGTTTATGACTGCAAACTTTGTAACATGGCGTACGATCAGTCGGCCCAACACACTCAATCGTGGCGGCTCTCTAGGTTTGACAGAAGACTTCACATTCAAAGCTCTTCCCTGGGAAAGTCGCCAGCTCTCTCACCTTGAACGTTTCACCATCAGACCAAAAACACCTTGCAAAGTTGCCATGGGAGAATTTCTCTCTCTTGGCTATAGGCAACAGACTCTCAAGGAGCGAGAAAGATAGGATGCGGTTGTTAGCTTTCCTAATTGCAAGCTTGACGGCGTTAACTTGCCGCGGTTACAGTTGGAATGGTTTGCTCTTTTGATTCTGCAGAGAAAGAAGCTACGAAAATGGAAGGATTTGAAGTTGGAGTTCAGAAGCCAAGTTACTACGTTAGATTAGGGTCTTTGTCGTCAAAGGTCCGATCCCGTGCCTACCAGCAGGCCTTAATCAAGGTTCGAGATGCTAAGCTCAGAAGCCAAGAGACAATCTCTCAACTTAACTCCACTGTCAATCTGGTAAGTGAGTTCTTGGTTCTAACTTCAGATTTTTGCAAAGGGTTTCAGTCAACTTTTGGGACTCACAGTGCACGTATCGGTGGATGGCAGTCCGCTCTACCTTTTAATAATATTTTAATCCTGTGTTCTTTACTTGTGAGTTGGCCTCGAGTTTTAAAGTTTGCAAGGCTAGCATTAAGGTAATACACAGCTCAGCGTTTTACTGGGCAGCCTTCATACATCCATGGACACAATAAGAATCTTTTCTTAACATCAACTTGTTGAAACAATAGGTCTAAAAAACACTATAGTGGCATTTGATGGGCTCTTAGGGCAGAGTAATCTGAAGGGGGAAATGTTAGACTTTATTTAAACAAATAAAGAATTCTTCAAAATGATATGTAGCGTGCCAGCAACTGCAGCAAAGGAAAGGAATTGGTGAAAACAGAGGGTCTGTTGGGCAAGAATACACAGTTGCATTTTGGGGCCCAAGTAGATATCTTTTATTCATACGAGATCCATATACAGTGGTACCTCGGGTTACATATGCTTCAGGTTACATATGCTTCAGGTTACATACGCTTCAGGTTACAGACTCCGCTAACCATATGAAAAGTTCCCAGAATCAGAGACAAGGCTTTCCTTTTTCTTAACAGATTGTTTTCCCATTCCTCACCTCTTGAAAATGTTTCTTGCTTTGCTGGCCATAAATTCTCTGTACCTGGTAGGCTTTGGAGAGAGCATGTGTTAAACATATCTGGGACATAACGGTGTACAGTGGTACCTCGGGTTACATATGCTTCAGGTTACATACGCTTCAGGTTACAGACTCCGCTAACCCAGAAATAGTGCTTCAGGTTAAGAACTTTGCTTCAGGATGAGAACAGAAATCGGGCTCCGGCAGTGCAGCGGCAGCAGGAGGCCCCATTAGCTAAAGTGGTGTTTCAGGTTAAGAACAGTTTCAGGTTAAGAACAGACCTCTGGAACGAATTAAGTACTTAACCCGAGGTACCACTGTAGCACTGTGAAATTCCAACTTCCTAATTCTTTTTCAGAGGGTTTGTTGGAGGGTTTAACAATCCCCGGTGGAGTTTTAAAAGGAGATATCAGAGCCGACCTTGTACAAACATGTTTGATAACTGAATGAATGAAAAAAATTAAAAAATTGTCCAGTAGCACCTTTGAGACCAACTAAGCTTGCTACTGGACAGTTTTTTAGTCTATTTATTTCGACTGCCGTCAGACCAACACAGGTACCTACCTGAATCTTGTTTGATAACTGTTGGCAGAACAAAGATCTCTTTAGCTGCAAAAGCACTCCCAAGAATGATCTGAGTTTCCTGTATCCTGGGAGAAAGATTTGCAGAAATCGGTGGCGCTCCTGAGTAGACATGTGCAGGATTGCACCGTTGAAGAGTACTTCCCAAAAGTTGAACGTGCAAGTCTTTTGTATTCCAGATTGAATATGCCAGAAAGAATATGAATAGTGCCAACCAGAAACTCCAAGATGCCCAACAAAAGCTGTATAATTCCTGGGTAGAATGGAGGAAAAACACAGGCCAAAATGAGGAAGATGACTCCCGCAGTGCTGAGGTAGGTTGCTGAGTGAGCATTGGGCAGATGCGTCAGGTTAATGCCATATTTTTCGCTCTATAAGACGCACCAGATCACAAGACACACCTAGTTTTTGGAGGAGGAGAATAAGAAAAAAAATATTCTGAATCTCAGAAGCCAGAACAGTAAGAGGGATCGCTGCGCAGTGAAAGCAGCAATCCCTCTTGCTGTTCTGGCTTCTGGGATAGCTGCGCAGCCTGCATTCGCTCCATAAGACGCACACACATTTCCCCTTACTTTTTAGGAGGGAAAAAGTGAGTCTTATAGAGCGAAAAATACGGTATTCTGCAGCCTTATAAATATGTTTGCAGGAAGAGGGCTCGCTGTTTGGTTGTTTTTGTTTTAACTATTTACTTGTTTTTTTTATTGTATTCAATTTTATTAATATTACGAGTTAAAGTAAAAAAAAGGAAAGAAAATACATAAACCATTTTAAAAGGTAGAGGAATACAACACTATGACAGCAAAATATAATTAAGTTCACAGAACTATATAACACATGTGCAAATGACTGAACTTACAGTTTCCCTCAAATATACATGAATTCAAGGGGTTGGTATGGTTTCGATAAATGCACTCCAAATATCATTTAATTTGTCCATACATAATGTTTGTCTGAAGGCGATCCATTCATGAGTTGCAATGCCATCTATCCATTGATCGAAAGACTATTTTTTTGGCCTCCCAATGTATTAGTATCATATATATTTTTGCAGATACAAAGGGCAAGGTTGCACCCAAAACTATTTCCTTGCCCAGTTGCTGCAGCAGTCTACAGCTGGCCATGCTGAAAGTTCTTTATCAAGGTTAAGAGTATTAACCTTTTGACCCAAATAATTACAGCAGTGATAAGGCTGCTGTCCAGGACTCAAGCGAAGGCTTAAACTTAGCTCTTGCTACTACTGGGTATTAGCTGCTTGTCTTGTTTCAGCCACAGCGGAAATACAGGAAGCTTGTAAAGAAAAGGGAAAAGATGTGAATGAGTAAGGTGGCTTCTCTCAGCACGCTCTTTCCCATGCCTACAAAATCTTTGTAGCAAGCATGGGGGTAAAGCTATCTGGCAAATAGGATATAACTGAAGGACCACTTGACAGATCTGTTATTGGTGGGAGGCCAGGAGAGAGAAATGCTTTTCGCTTTCCAGGTCAAGGGGTCTGATTAGGGTGCAAGTCCCAGCCAAAGATAGGATCCCTTGGGTGTGGAGAAACATTGGTCAGTGCGTATGAGCATTCATTTGGGTCTTATGGCAGTGTCTCAGCCAGTGTTACAAATTCAGATATATAAGCTTAAGTGCCAAATGGCTCCTTAAACCAGGGCTAGTCACCAAAACAGAATGCCTAGTGGCCATTTTGGGGGCCAGACAGTTCGAAAGCCATATTTTTCAATTCAGTGGTACCCGAGGTACCACTGTACAGTGGTGCCCCGCAAGACGAATGCCTCGCAAGACGGAAAACCTGCTAGACGAAAGGGTTTTCCGTTTGCGATGTGCTTCGCAAGACGAAGTTCCCTATGGGCTTGCTTCGCAAGACGAAAACGTCTTGCGAGTCTCGCCATTTCCCCCCCGCTTTCCCCTCCCTTTTTCAAAGGCGCTAAGCCACTAATAGCCTTTTAGCAGCTTAGCCGCTAAGCCTTTAATAGCCGCTAAGCCGCTAAATCGCTAATAGCGCTAATCCTCTTAGCCGCTAATGGGGTTGCTTCGCAAGACGAAAAAACCGCTAGTCGAAGAGAATCACGGAACGGATTCTTTTCGTCTTGCGAGGCACCACTGTACGGCTTTTTGGTACCTGAAATTCATTCTGCTTGGGCAGTGAAAATGTAACAGAATTATAGAGGATGCATTGTGAAAACAGCCAAGATCCATGGTTCCCCAGGCATGCACCTCCAAATGGTGGAGACATCAGGCGCCATCTTGGCACCCGGGCATCTTCACTTGGTCCTGAGTGGCCAATAGCCAGGTGCCAAACGTGCCTGGCGAATTTTGAGCACAGGTCCCAGCTTCGTTCCATACTTCAGTCGTACCTTAGAAGTTGAACGGAATCTGTTCCAGAAGTCCGTTCGATTTACAAAATGTTTGGAAACCGAAGCGCGGCTTCTGATTGACTGCAGGAAGGTCCTGCAGCCAATCGGAAGCTGCGTCGGACGTTTGCGTCGGACGTTTGCAGACCAGAACACTCACTTCCGGGTTTGCGACGTTCGGGAGCCAAAACGTCTGAGTACCAAGGCATTTGGGATCCAACGTATGACTGTACCCCCACATTGGAAGTTCAAGTTATTGTTGTCTAGGGTGGTGGCCCCGGCTGTAGAATACAGTCACACCTCAGGTTAAATATGCTTCAGGTTGAGCGCTTTCGGGTTGCGCTCCGCGGCAACCCGGAAGTAACGGAACACGTTACTTCCAGGTTTCGCCGCTCTCGCATGTGCAGATGGTCAAAATGACGTCACACACATTCGCGGAAGCGCAAATCGCAGCACGCGCAGACGTGGGTTGTGTTCACTTCAGGATGCGAACGGGGATCCAGAACGGATCCGGTTCGTATCCAGAGGTACCACTGTATTGGGGTTATTTTAAGCTAACAGAATAACATGGAGCCCGTTTCCAATGTCTGTGTGTTTTGCTTTTGTTTCCAGTACATTGAATCACGCACACTAACGATTGCACGGAACCTGACCCAGCAGCTTCAAACCACCTGCGTCACCCTGGTGTCGAGTATACAGGGTTTGCCCCAGAATATCCAAGGCCAGGTTCACCATGTGGGGGAAATGGCAGGCGAGGTCTACCGGAACTTCCGCTCGGCGTCTTCCTTCCAGGAAGTGTCCGACAACCTCATCACCACCAGCAAAGGGCAGCTGAAGAAAATGAAGGAATCACTGGACGATGTGATGGATTACCTGGTGAACAACACGCCCCTCAACTGGCTGGTAGGTCCCTTTTACCCGCAATTGGCTGGCTCTGAAAATGCTGGGCACAGAGGTGACGGGGAGAAAAAGACCAGCCAGGAGGACAAACAGCCTGAACGCAACACAGAATAAATGGCGGCGTGACAAAACATGCACACACACGCCGTGTAGCTTGACTGACAAGGTGGCCGAGCTGTGGTAGCTGCAGTGTAACCTGCTGGGGCTGGGGGGAGTAATTTAATTCCTGCTGCGCTTTCTCTGACAAAAAAAGCAAAAAAAGATTTGTGCGCTTCCGAGTTGAGTTCCCAGTGTTTGGGTTCGAAGTTGTGAAAGATGCAAAGTGCCTTAAAAGACTTCTGAGCCTCAGCAGATTGCATTGGAGAAAACACCTTGTTTAGCTACCTGTATATTACAAAGCCCCATCTTGTCTCTCAGTTAAAGTGGCCTTTAAAAAGAGCTTACTGCTATTCTGTTAATATACGCAGGTGCGGGAAAAAACAAAGCAGACCCCCTTATTGAAAATCTGTAAAGCTTCTGGCAGCATAATTACATTTTCTTATTCAGCTTTCATTTGAAAACTGCACACTGTACCCTTGTATACTTATCATTCCTTCCATTTGCCTTAAAGCAATTTGTTCTAGGACCTTAAAAAAAAAAAGCCTTTTCTAAACTTTTTCCACTCCTTGCGTGGAGTTGGACTAGACTTGCCAGAGTAACTTGTCTGTTGCGACAGCTCATGTTCGTCCTTCATTTCTAAATATGAGACGTTGTACTACTCAGTAACTCCACTTAAGCTACTATTGAGCACTGTGCGCTAAGTGAGATTCATGCTGTTTGTACATGGGTGTTTTTAGCCTGTCTTTTTGTAGTGCCTTGCCTTGTAATTTCACATGTATGCTTAGTAATAAATGCTTCAGCAGCCGGAGTCTGGTGTCTCTTGGATTGTGTAAAGAGTACTGAGGATGCGAAACAAACGTTGTGACTCAATTACCGTTGAGCTGTGGGTCTGTTTAAAACGGGTTGAATGCAAATTGCTGAATCAGCACAAAGCATTACATGTAAACAGATGTTCCAGGTGTTGCTGCTGTATTTATTTCCTACCTACGGCTCCTCAGCCAGCTCTCTGGATACTTGCAGTTTCTTAAGCTTCTACCATCCCAGCTTTTGCTTGTAGCTTGCTTTTCTGGGTCGGGGCTCTTGAATCGGTGGGTTGTGGCTTGAATCGGTAGGTTGTTGTGATGTATACTATGCCAAAGGAGGCCAAACCACCTGTCTCTCGCAGCACAGACATTCCGCAGTCTTGATGGCCCTTCAGATTTTACAACAGGTCCTAGGAAGTTGAACCACAACAAACTGTTGAGAACACCTGCAAATGATCTGGAGATATTTCTGGTTCCTCCTGCTGTGCTTGTTCTTGCACTTGATGCTTTAACTCAAACAAAAATAAGTTTGCTCTGCTGTCCAGGTATCCTGCTGCGCTAACAGTTACGTGACAAAGTACACACAGGTCAATACGTTAATAGTTTTGTCCCCGCAGGGAAAACATTTAGCGCACGGGATGCCCTGAGACTTCCACCTGTGTAGAATCAGCACCGATGAGGACTTGAGCGTTCTGCCAACGTTGCTGGGGTAGAATTAAGCAGCAGGCCCACTCGAATCACAATTCATTGCTAATAATTCCCCTAGTCTAAAAGTGCCCTTTTAAAAATTGGCTTTAGAATTGAACCAGGCCAACTGTCATGTGATCTATAATGCATGCTTTGTTGTGGTTTCTTTGAACACAGTTTTTGGTTGGTGTTGTCTAGTTGCACTGGTGGGTGGGTGCGTGGGATTCACCTAACTAGTCCTGTTAGCCGAAGCCCTGCTCAAGGACTTCTGCTTGTTCAATGGGGCTTCCCCTCTTCTCTAACCCCTATGCGCCTCTGCCCCCCAGAATAGCATTCAAGGGGAGCAGAGGAGAGATTTTTTCACCTGGCAAACTGAAATGCTTGTGTAGATGGTGCAGTTGACACAGCAGAATGTTGAATTCCTTCCCGATTGTTTATCCTGGTCCGATTGGTTTCCAAGCCCAATTCAAAGTGCTGGTTTTGACCTATAAAGCCTTAAAAGGCTCAGGACTACCTCAAGGACCACCTCTCTCCATATGAACCTACCCGGTCCCTGAGATCATCTTCTGAGGCCCTCCTTGGTGTGCCGCCTCCTCGAGAGGTTTGGAGGGTGGCAACATGAGAACGGGGCCTTCTCTGCAGTGGCTCCCCATCTGTGGAATGCTCTCCCCAGGGAGATTCGCCTGGTGCCTTCATTATATACCTTCAGGCACCAGGCAAAAACTTTCCTCTCTAACCAGACCTTTGGCTGATTGACATACAATGCCCTTTTAAAATGTGTTGTGCAGGGGGCAGGAATAATTGGGTTGTTCCTGTTTTTATTTTTATTATGTATTTTGTGTTTTTTATATTGTGATTTTTTTGTCATGAGCTGCTCTGAGACCTGCGGGTAAATGGTGGTAAACAAATTCGAATAATAATAATAACCACCTTGGCTTACAAAGGACAAGCAATAATTCATGTATGGACTGGTTTTGGCCGTGCAATTAATCTGTGGTTTAAAGATCATGGATAGGCTGTGGGATCTCTCTCACACATGGATATTTTCCTTCCCTTCAGGCTGTGAAGTTTTCCCTCTATACAATTCTGGTGTTGCATAAGCATTGTTCATCTGCATTAAAACGAATTGCATGTGCTTCTAATAATAATAATAAATTTTTATTTGTATTCCGCCCTCCCCAGCCGAGCTCAGAGAGGCTAACATCATAAAAACGAACACAATAAGCATAAAAACAGACATTAATTAATTAAAATACATCTTAGAATTAATTCAGACAAGTTAAAATCCAGGCAGGTGGCAATTAGGTAAAGGACCCCTGACCGTTAAGTCCAGGCGCGGACGACTCGGGTTGCAGCGCTCATCTTGCTTTATTGGCCAAGGGAGCCGGCGTACAGCTTCTGGGTCATGTGGCCAGCATGACTAAGCCGCTTCTGGCGCACCAAAGCAGTGCACGGAAATGCTGTTTACCTTCCCGCCAGAGTGGTACCTATTTATCTACTTGCACTGGCATGCTTTCGACCTGCTAGGTTGGCAGGAGCAGGGACCGAACAACAGGAGCTCACCCCGTCGTGGGGATTCGAACCACCGACCTTCTGATCGGCAAGTCCTAGGCTCTGTGGTTTAACCCACAGAGCCACCTGCATCCCCAGGTGGCAATTATCAGGGTGCAATTGAGAGTGGTTAATAATTGCCAGGACCAACTGTTTCCACTGATCATTCAAGGACCTGTGAATGGGTTGGGGGCCTCCTTCGGGCTTGCTTTATACAAAGGAAAGTAAGCTCACATGCAATTTGACTGGGGCTGATGAGTCCCACAAAAACTTGGAAGGGTCCCACATTGTCTACCCCTGCTTTAAAGAATGACATGAAAATAATTATTAGTTTTCTGCACAGGTGACTAACGTGTTACATAGCAACAGAAGAACCAGGGCACTTGCATTTTGCCGTTGCTTGGTACATATGTATATGTTCCACTAGCATTCAAGACAAACATAAGTACAATCCTATTCACGGCAATAGCTCAATCTTCTTTGCAAGCAGAACATCACAAACTCAATGCCATGCAGCTCCAGTGTTGGAAATTCGCCAGGCACATTTTGCACCTCTGGCTATTGGCCACTTGTAACCAAATGAAGGTACTGACATCTCCACCATCTGGAGGTGCATGCCTGGGGATCTGGACTGTTTTCACACACTAGCAATTCTACCCCTTATATTTTATCTGCAAAGTCAGGATGAATTTCAGGAGATCAAAATGCATCATCTCTGCAGCCTGAGCAGGAGCCGAGAACGACGTTATAGTGAATTGTTGTAGCTTGTCTTCGCTTCTCCCGCCCCAATGCCCTGCTCACAGTTGCGAAGAATAGCACTACGTTATGAATGGCCCTTGTCACCATTAAGAAAAAGAGGTCGGAATAGGCCAATATATATGTGGACTGTCCCTGAGTCAAGTGACTTTTCTTCTTTTAAGTTCTCAAAACTCTTAACTTAGCTCAAGGTAGTCCTCTGAACTAGCCAGATGTTGAACTGAGAATCAGTCACAGTCAGCCCATCCTTTGAAAAACAAGACTTTAGCCCCATCTTGCCCCAAAACAGCAACTAGACATTCCGTTTGGGAGACTGCAACCTTGGTTTTAAGGAACCCTTTGGTGCCTAGCGTATATATCCGAGTTTCGAAAACTCTGCAGCTCTAGGTAGGGCAATTGCCCGCCTGTGTTGACAAAATGGAACTAGATTTTTCTCCCATGGTGTAAGATGAAGCCTCATGTTCCTACTTAGAGGTTTTGCTGTGTTCAGTGGTCCTTATGCCCTGGAAAGTGTGTGTAGGATTGTAGCTGTATCTACATAAGGTGCTCAAAACAGGTTACGGAAGAGTAGGCAACTTGACCTCAAATCCAGCCTGCTGCTGAAATAGGTACGGCACGGCTAGGACAGAAAACTCCCTGCTGCCTTATTCTGAGAGCTTCAAAGCAAATGGTAGCAGGGAGACCAGCATAGCAGCAGACATAGTTAGCATAGTACTTTTGTGTCCACAGTCTTAAAATAATACTAGGCAGCTGATCCTGCCTATGCTTACTCTGAAGTTCCACTAATTACAGTGGCGCTTACTCCCAAGGGAACACAGAGGCATTGCCGCTTTAGGCCTGAATGAGCCCATTGACTTTATTTTGAAACCAATTCATTCTGAATCGAATTATTTCTGGTTTGCATGAGTCAGTTTACCCTAACTATCCTGCAATCCTGCGGGTGTAAACCACTGAGCCTCTTGGGCTTGCCGATCGGAAGGCTGGCAGTTCAAATCCTTGTGACGGGGTGAGCTCCCGTTGCTCTGTCCCAGCTCCTGCCCACCTAGTAGTTCGAAAGCACACCAGTGCAAGTAAATAAATAGGTACCACTGCAGCGGGAAGGTAAATGGCGTTTCTGTGTGCTATGGTTTCCGTCACGGTGTCCCATTGTGCCAGAAGCGGTTTAGTCCTGCTGGCCACATGACCCGGAAAGCTGTCTGTGGACAAACGCCGGCTCCCTTGGCCTAAAAGTGAGATGAGAGCTGCACTCCCATGGTCAAATTTGACTGGACTTAACCGTCCAGGGGTCCTTTCCCTTTCCCTAACTGTTTCAGAGATGAAATCAAGCCATGTAGTCAGGCTGTTGCTTTAGAATCAGAGATTTGGAGGAGAATCTGGTCTAAACTATGACAGTCAGTTAAAGTAAAGCGGGCATGCGCTGAGGGAAACTGATTCACACGTACACTACAGTTTAACACATACCGGATCTCACTTCTGGTATCAGAGACCAGCTTAGGAGAAGACATACGGCAGGGATGTAAGCTGTGGGAGGAAGGAAAGATTTCTCTCCAGATTGTTGGTCTAGGGATAGGACTCGTGCTTTCAGTGACAAAGGCCTTGAGTGCAATTCCCAGACAAACTCATGCAACAGGAAGAAGAGGGTCGAGCCCTTAATTGCTAGCCATAACTAGAGTGTATGATTTGCATGCAGAATATCCCAAATAAAAACCCTCAAATCTTAGTGCTGGCCGGGAAAGACTTCCTGTCTGAAATCCCCGAGTGGTATTCAAGTGAGTTTTACACAGAGTAGACCTGTTAAAATTAATGGGCCTGACTCAGAGAAAAATAAGAATATTTCATTTATACCCCGCCCATCTGGCTGGGTTGCCCAAGCCACTCTAGGCGGCTTCCAAGACATAAAAACATAATAAAACATCAAACATTAATAGGAACAATCTGATCCAATTTAAAAGTCACAATAACTTTAAAATAAACAACTTATATCAAACAAAGCAGCATCCAACAATCTATCAGAATCTAATTGTTGTTTAGTTGTTTAGTCGTGTCCAACTCTTCGTGACCCCGTGGACCAGAGCACGCCAGGCATTCCTGTCTTCCACTGCCTCCTGCAGTTTGGTCAAACTCATGTTCGTAGCTTCGAGAACACTGTCCAACCATCTCGTCCTCTGTTGTCCCCTTCTCCTTGTGTCCTCCATCTTTCCCAACATCAGGGTCTTTTCCAGGGAGTCTTCTCTGCTCATGAGGTGGCCAAAGTCTTGGAGCCTCAGCTTCAGGATCTGTCCTTCCAGGGAGCACTCAGGGCTGATTTCCTTCAGAATGGATAGGTTTGATCTTCTTGCAGTCCATGGGACTCTCAAGAGTCTCCTCCAGCACCATAATTCAAAAGCATCAATTCTTTGGCAATCAGCCTTCTTTATGGTCCAGCTCTCACTTCCATACATCACTACTGGGAAAACCATAGCTTTAACTATATGGACTTTTGTCAGTAAGGTGATGTCTCTGCTTTTTAAGATGCTATCTAGGTTTGTCATCACTTTTCTCCCAAGAAGCAGGTGTCAATAGTAAACAGTAAAAGTAAGCATCAGCAAATAATAATTAAACAGTTCAACCACAATAAAGAATTACCAACCTATAATCAATAAAAGTAACAGCAAATCACAATGCATAAAACACCACAAAACATACAAAACCATGTAAAAGGATCAAATTGAGAAACAAAGAAGCGCAACTTAATAAAACTATGTTTTTTAAAAATATCCCTGAACTCCATCTGGCCCCAAAATGGTAACTAGGCATTCTGTTTTGGCGATAGTAACTCTCATTGAAGGAGCCATTTAGTGCCTAGCTTACATAACTGAGTTTCTACCATTGCTTCCTACATTAAAATAACACAATTTGGATAAATGGTTGGTTTAAAATCTTTGGGTCTCCTTTTATTTCTCACTATGAAGCCTACACCAGAGAAAGAGGCATTTCCCCACATGAATTATTTGTGAACTTTTTAAATGATAAGACAATATTATTTCATTTCACATGCGATACGCTATGTTTTTGTCAGTATAGTACTGAAATGGGAGGAAATTTTGCTGGCCTGTTCTCCTCAGTTTGAGTCCTAGGTCCTTAACACTTTGGGGAATGTTGAAAATGTTGCCTTCGAATTTATTTGAGTTTCTTCCTCTGCAGGTTCCGGATTTTACTATCACAGACTTGTCTTCAGAATCGGATGAGATACCAGATATATTGGCTTTGGATGAAGAAGGGCAGCAAGATTATTCGCGTGCAAATGGTCCCATCACCACAGGTCAAAGAGCTGAATAAACACCGAATACAAGAAACCAAAAACTAATACTTTTGATTGAATAAATATATGTTCATACACATTTCCCCCCCTAACCTTATCCTCCTGCTTTTTGGAGTGGAGTTACTTAGCTCTTGGGGAGTATCGGAATTGTTTGTATCACTTTTGCTTCATTTAGATCGATCAAAACTGTGACCTTGTGAAAAAATATTATGGAACGCACATTAGCGTAACCTATTAGCATGGAGGAGTGGACTGTTTTTGTCCTCCGTGTAAGATAAATGTATTCAACTGGTCAACAATATCAATTTTAAGTCTATATTACAGTTTGGACAGCAGTTGCTTCTGAAACCACATCTCTGCTGCTTTGACATGGAATCCTGTCTGAAAGAAGATTTGCCGATTTCAATTTCAGTTCCTCTGTAAATACTTCTGTGTTTCTCCATCAACATCTTTACCTGCCAGGAAGAAAAAATGCAGCCATTTCTCGTCTCTTTCTGTTTCGTTGTGATGTATCTGCATGACTCTGTACCAAATGTTTAAACAGGTGCCCTTTGAGTTCAAATGCAATGGATGAGCTCAGTGCTCCTTGCTTTTCTAAGATTATGATGCTCCAGCAAATTGCAACTCAGTCAGGTGATAAACCTGTGCCTGGGTTGCGCCATTTTAGACTATGGGAGAAAGACCAAACGCTCTTCCATACAAAGTAAATCTTTGCATGTAGAAATCTTAGCACATCACAGAGAAGTTTGAACTAGGACCGTCCTTCCTGAGACCTAATTTTGTTTTTCTCTGGAAGAGCAGTCGTGTGAGCTCTCCACTTGCAGCCAGAAGTGGTACAGCCCAGGGACAGTAAGAATTAGCCTTTGCAGTAGGGGAACCTGTGTACCTTTCCCATATTTTGGACCACATCTCCCATCATCCCTTTCCATTGGCCAGGCTGGTTGAGGCCGATGGGAGCTGGGAGTCGCAGGTTTCGCCATCACTGCTTCAGAACATCTGGAGTTTAACCAGGACAATATGCTAGAGCAGTGGTGGCCAAACTTGGCCCTTCAGATGTTTTTGGACTACAATTCCCATCATCCCTAGCTAACAGGACTAGTGGTCAGGGATGATGGGAATTATAGTCCCAAAACAGCTGGAGGGCCAAGTCTGGCCACCACTGCTCTAGAGTAAAACAGAGCCAAACACAGGTTCAGGAGATGCAAACTGTGAAACATCTGACAGGGTTCAAAAAAAGGAAAGACGTGTAGTGAAAAATGGGGCAGAAAATACGAACGAGATGGAGAAAGCTAGCACTGAAGTGATGTTCCTGCGCAATCCACAATTGTTTCAGCAGGGTTTGTATAGTTCCAGTGGTTTGCCGTCAAACAGATCCGGTATTTCTTTACGCAAATCGGAAGAGTCAGAGGAAGCTCAAAACAAGCTAGAAATGCAGAGATGTACTTAACGAAATGTTACAGTTAAAAGTCTACACCGTGTTTTGGTTCAGACACACCTTTAATATCACTGGCAGTTTTGGGTTTCCCCCCGTTTTTTAATTATGGGATTATGAGGGTTTTCTATGGTGCTAATTTTTATAGGTTAGGTCCACAGATCTGAATTAAAGAGATAATTTGACGCTCTCTTTAGCAAGAAGTGGACAACCTCTCCCCCCACTCTTCAGTTATGCATTATAAGAGATAACATGGAAGTTTTAAGCACTAGTCACTGAAATGCCTTGGAAATAAAGTTTAAAACTGTATAATCCAATGGCTGCTGATGTTTTGCTTCTCCTTTTTATTGCTTTTTATATGACCTCCAAACCATTAGAAATTCATGATTATTTGAAGTTGTTGTAGCTGCAACTGGAAAAAAACCAACCTTTTCTGAAATACAGAGTTATCACATTTTGATGGGATCATAAGAATATGATTTCTTATGCTGTCTTACGTCTGTGACTAAGTTGAGTTATATAAAAACGCACACAAGATCACCACTTATCCCACAGTCAGATGTCTTCCATGAAAAATAAAATTTGCATCTACTACTTTGTTACGCTTAAGATACTTAAAAAAAAACACACACACCAAAGAAGTAATTGTTGCTTCTGTAAGGGCGTGACTGAGTTGGCAAATACCGTTCAAATGTCATTATTAACAAGTTAACCAAGCCTTGAAGGCCATTAACTCCTCTCAGAAAACAAAGTGATAACGCAACATGCTTCTTTTAAGAACCAAATAACCATTATCCTTGAAATATTTTTGGCATTAAAAAAAAAAAAAGCATGCAGCCTCACTCTACCACAAGACCTTTGGGTGCCTGGAAAAGTATCTAAATAAAATACATGCCCCTTCCCAAATAATGAAATAATTTACTGCTTACTGCTCTAGAATGCCGACCCTCCAACATTCCTCAGATGAAAATAGGGATGTTGCTCACTCCTACCCCCAACTGATCCTCCTTGATCTCCCATTTTGTCCCCCTCACTCCCCACAGGGCCTTTTCAGTGATGGCTCCGACCTGGTGGAATGCTCTGCCCCAGGAGACCAGGGTCCTTCAGGATTTAACCTCCGTCCATCAGGCCTGTAAGACAGAGCTATTCCGCCTGGTCTTTAATTTGAATTCAGCCTGATCATTTATTTCCCTTCTCTTCCCTCCCCCTCCCCTTTCATGACGATTACCCGCTCTGAGACCCCACAGCTAATTCTCCCCTGGTCTCTTCGCTGGCCCAAACAGGACTACTGTATTTTTCGCTCTATAAGACGCACCAGACCTCAAGATGCACCTAGTTTTTGGAGGAGGAAAACAAGAAAAAAAATCTGAATCTCAGAAGCCAGAACAGCAAGAGGGATCGCTGCGCAGTGAAAGCAGCAATCCCTCTTGCTGTTCTGGCTTCTGTGATAGCTGCGCAGCCTGCATTCGCTCCATAAGACGCACAAACATTTCCCTTTACTTTTTAGGAGGGAAAAAGTGAGTCTTATAGAGCAAAAAATACAGTAATTTAGCCAGCTAGCCCTGGTGATCATCTAATGTTTATTGGATGGATTTCCCCCCTAAATTGATTTTTTATTTTATTGTTATTCACGTTTTATACCGTATTTTATGCTGTTTTTTGTAGCATCAATTAAGTGTTTTCAATTTGTTGTTAGCCGCCCTGAGCCCGGTTTTCTGAACCAGGAAGGGCAGTGTATAAATAGAATATTATTATTATTATTATTATTATTATTATTATTATTATTAGCACCACCAGTACCCCAATGGGACACAGCACATATCGCCTCCATCCTGAGAAAGCCAGCGTAGATGAAGAAGTGGTGTTGTGGAACCGGGTTCGCGTCTCCGCTTCTCCACATGCAGCTGCTGGGTGACCTTGGGCCAGTCACACTTCTCTGAAGTCTCTCAGCCCCACTCACCTCACAGAGTGTTTGTTGTGGGGGAGGAAGGGAAAGGAGAATGTTAGCCGCTTTGAGACTCCTTAAAGGGAGTGAAAGGCGGGATATCAAATCCAAACTCTTCTTCTTCTTCTTGTGGTAAAGAGCAGTGGACTCGTAATCTGGTGAACCGGGTTCGCTTCACCACTCCTCCACATGCAGCTGCTGGGTGACCTTGGGCTAGTCACACTCCTCTGAAGTCTCTCAGCCCCACTCACCTCACAGAGTGTTTGTTGTGGGGAAGGATAGCTCAGTTGGTAGAGCATGAGACTCTTAAATCTCAGGGTTGTGGGTTTGAGCCCCACGTTGGGTAAAAAATTCCTGCACTGCAGGGAGTTGGACTCGAATGACTCTTGTGGTCCCTTCCAACTCTACAATTCTATAAAGGAGAAGGAAGGGAAAGGAGAATGTTAGCCGCTTTGAGACTCCTTAGGGTAGTGATAAAGCGGGATATCATATCCAAACTCTTTTTCTTAATCCTGATTTGATTTTATTCTTTGGTAGATCTAATAGAAAATTATTTACAGATAACAGTTCCTAAAGCAATTCAAATGTTGTCCTTCACCAGTGCCGGATGTACGTATAAGCTAAACAAGCTCTAGCTTAGGGCCCCACTCTCTGAACATTTCCAAAATATAAGATAAAAAACAAATAAAACAAAACCTACCTACAGCAATGGTGTTTTGTGTTGTGTAGGCTCCTATGATGTAAGTCATGGGCCCTGCCTGCTAGCCTGCTCCCTCAAATATCACTGGTTTGATCCTTTCTATATATAGGGTGCCTCCATTCTGCATGTGCAAATGGCTTGAGATACCTATGAGGTCCATAAACTACCATATAGCATATATTCAACACAAAAATCAGCAAGGATTTGTTGTGGAAAAGGACAGCTGGACATATAAAGAGTCCTATTACCTTGAGTAGCTTAGGACCTCAGCAAAACTTAATTCCGGCCCTGTCCTTAACACTTTCTCAAAAGTGTATTTATGCAGGGGTTCTTTGACATCGTCGACCGACCTCCGTCGAAATGCTACGGCATCGAGTCTACTGGCCAGGAATAAGTTGCACCGGACACCTTACCCCACCAAAGCCACCAAACCAGCATTCAGAGTAGGATGTAGCCCACTGAATGTGCTGACATGGTGCTGGGGTTGCAAAATGACATCGCGAGCCTGGTGCTGCTACACCGGAATGCAATGTGTGTTGCGCCTGTGGTCATTTAGCAGCTAGTTATGCGGGGAAAAGCAAAGAAGGGTGCCTTCACCCCAGTGTGGTTCCCCTTTCTCACATACACAGCAAAACAGGACAATTATCTATTCCCCCCAATAGCTTATGAATCAATATGACCCATCTGACCCAACAACCTACCCCTCCCCACAAAACAAGCCACACTGCAGCCAACTGAACACAACCAGGTAAAAGGTAAAGGACCCCTGGATGGTTAAGTCCAGTCAAAGGCGACTATGGGGTTGTGGCGCTCATCTCGCTTTCAGGCCGAGGGAGCCGGCGTTTGTCCGCAGAAAGCTTTCCGGGTCATGTGGATAGCAGGACTAAGCTGCTTCTGGCACAACGGGACACTGTGATGGAAACCAGAGTGCACAGAAACACCGTTTACTTTCCCGCCGCAAGGATACCTATTTATTTACTTGCTCTGGTGTGCTTTCAAATGGCTAGATTGGCAGGAGCTGGGACAGAGCAACGGGAGCTCACCGTTGTGGGGATTCGAACCGCCGAGCTTCTGATCAGCAAGCCCAAGAGGCTCGGTGGTTTAGGCCACAGTGCCACCCGTGTCCCTTGAAGGCAACCAACCAAGATCTGAACCTCTAACCTCTCACAATGTCTCACTCCACGGTGGGATGCTGATACAAACCCCTGGACTACTAACACTGTACAACTTTGTATGAAAGACCCCCCCATCTCTCTCTTTCTCCTTTCCCCCAACCTCAGGATGTCTATGACAAAAGTGTCTCTCACTACCTGTAAACGAATGCGAAAGAGACTCTATGAACTGAAAGTGGAGACAATGGAGGTACTCCTCCCTGTTTATTCGTTTGTTTTGTAGCATGAGAATATCTTAAATAAAAGCTGATTTTGAAAAAAATTAGCTAGTTATGCTTCTTGGTTGAACTGCAAGCCCACTATGGGAGGGCCCTGTAAAAAAGTCTGGAAAGGACCCCCCACCATGAGGAAGCTCACAGTTTTTCCCGTGGTAGTAATCATAGTTTAGAGGTCCCGGGCCCTAAGGAAGTCAGATTATCCTCCACCAGGGCCAGGGCCTTCTCAGTGATGGCTCCGACCTGGTGGAATGCTCTGTCCCAGGAGACCAGGGCCCTGCAGGATTTAACCTCCTTCCGCAGGGCCTGTAAGACAGAGCTATTCCACCTAGCTTTCAATCTGAATTTAGCCTGATCTTTTATTCCCCTTCCTTCCTTCCTTCCCTCCCCCTCCCCTTTTTATGAAGATTATCCACTCTGGGATCCCACAGCTAATTCTCCCCTAGTCTCCTCACTGACCCAAATAGGACTAATTTAGCCAGCTAGCCCTGGTGATCATCTAATGTTTATTGGATGGCTTTTCCCCTAAATTGATTTTAGAACTTTGAATTTATCGTTATTCACGCTTTTATACTGTAATATATGCTGTTTTTTGTTGTATCACAATTAAGTGTTTTAAATTTGTTGTTAGCTGCCCTGAGCCCGGTTTTCTGAACCGGGAAGGGTGGGGTATAAATAAAAATTTATTATTTATTATTATTAATACTTGTGCTGAGCTCTGTCAGTTCGAGCGAGGAGTGCGGGCAGCAGCAGGGCAGAGCGAGCAAGAGAAAACTGTAGCTGCTCTCGGTTCCTCTCTTTTGCTCTCTCTCTCTGGGTACTGTGCAAGGAGGGATGGCCCCACAGTGCTACCTAGAGAAATTGCAAGTAGCCACCTCCGCCCCCTTCCCTCTGTCTAGGGCAGGGTAGTGTTGTTCGTGATCACAGAAGACCAAGTAGCCAGCTCTTCCTCACCATTGTGGGGAATTTGACCACATGGAAAGAAAAGAACAGGACACTTTAGAACTTGTTTTAAGAAGTTTAACATTCGCTGAAAACAAACTACCTGAATCCAAAATGGAAAGCCATTACGGTGAACAAAACCCAACAACAACGTTCATTTTTGAGTCCTCTTGCTTTCATAAACCAGAAGCAAAGTTTGGCAAGGGAGCAGCTGCAGGACTGGCGAAACACAGATGCTCTTCGTCCCAAGGATGGTTCCTCACTCTAAATCAAGCCGTGGCAACACAGGAAGAATAAGGTTTCCAAAGGCAGAATCTTGGGTTATGAAGTATCCTGAGGAATGTGCATGAGCATGCTGCGAAAGGAACATAAAGTGTTTCAAAATGAGACCTTTTCAATGGAAGCCAAGTCTCTCCACCGTCATGCAAGCATGAGTGAGTGCTTAAGAACATCAGATTTGGAAGGAATATCTGTTCTTTGCCACATTTCAGTCCTGCTAGTAGTTGCTTTGACCCAGGTGTGGGGAACCCCTGACCCTCCATATTGCCAAACTACGTCCATCCTCACATCTAGCTCATTCTTCCCAAGGTTTTGCCCGCAGTGTTTAAAACGGGGCTAAAAGTTGAGATAATACACAATGTAACATGACCAAAGCCACTTCCCAAATCAGAAGACCCTCTCAGAATTTTAAACTTTGTCATCACTATGAAAATCTTAAGCTTTTGAGATGCATGTTAGCTTTCGTCCCCAATGTCTGAGATGGGTGGGGGGTTCTTAGGAGCTATAGTCTCCGAGGCACCAAAACAAAAAGGCCCAGGGAAACTTGCAAAACGGCCCGTTTGGATATGCTTTGGTCAGGACAACTCACCTGTAGAGCAGCCTTCTGCTGTGCAGCGATGTGCTGTAGTTCAGCATGATCACGAAAGTCCTTGTTAAGGGAAGATCTGGCGAGAGAGATGCTGCGAGCAATGATAAGAAATTGACATGTCACACAAAGGCAGGGAAGGCAGCCATCAGCACAGCATCAAGGAAGAGGCTTGTCATCGCCAGGGGGCGTGTTTCAGAGTCAAGAAGTTCCATGTCATTACTTTAAATACAAGACTTGGAATTTTGGGCAAATCTGAGTAATTTGCACGTGCCAGACAGCGTTAGAAACTCAGATATATAAGCTAGGCACCAAAAGACTCCTTTAACCAAGGTTACAGTCGCCCAACAGAATGTCTAGTTGCCATTTTGCGGCAAGACAGCTCTAACGTCTTATTTTCCACAGGATGGACTGACTGTGACTGGGTCTCAGTTAAACATCTGGCCAGCTGAGATGAAAATCTTGAGCTAGGTTAAGAGTTTTGAGAACTTAAAGAAGAAAAGTCACTTGATCAAGGGACAGTCCACATAATATATATTGGCCTATTCCTGCCTCTTTTTCTTAATGGTGACACGGGCCACTCACAATAGTGGGAGAAGTGAAGACAAGCTACAACAATTCACTACAGTGGACCCTCCGGATACGAATTAAATTCGTTCTGGGGGTCCATACTTAACCTGAAAAGTCCGTAACTGGAGGTGAAACTTCTGTGCACGTGCACGGCACGCAGAGCGCTTCTGCGCATGCGGCGAAACCCGGAAGTATACACTTCCGGGGTTGCTGTGTTCGCAACCCAAAAGTTACATATCCAGAGTGGCATGTAACTCTAGGGCATAATGTTCTTGGCCCCTGCTCAGGCTGCACCGAAAATGTGGCAGCTAGACTGGTGACTGGGGGCGGCCGACGAGACCACATAACACCGGTCTTGAAAGACCTACATTGGCTCCCAGCACGTTCCCGAGCACAATTCAAAGTGTTGGTGCTGACCTTTAAAGCCCTAAACGGCCTCGGCCCAGTATACCTGAAGGAGCGTCTCCACCCCCATCATTCTGCCCGGACACTGAGGTCCAGCACTGAGGGCCTTCTGGCGGTTCCCTCATTGCGAGAAGCAAAGCTGCAGGGAACTAGGCAGAGGGCCTTTTCGGTAGTGGCGCCTGCCCTGTGGAATGCCCTCCCATCAGATGTCAAAGCGATAAACAACTACCTGACATTCAGAAGACATCTTAAGGCAGCCCTGTTCAGGGTAGTTTTTAATGTGTGACATTTTAGTGTATTTTTGGTCTCTGTGGAAGCCGCCCAGAGTGGTGGAGTACAAATTAATAATAATAATAATAATAATAATAATAATAATAATAATAATAATAATTTTGGTTCCAGAAATTCATTCTGATGGTGCAGAGAAAATATAATGGATAGAAATCAACAGGATGGGGTATTAGTGTGTGAAAATGGTCCAGATCCAAGGATCCTCAGGCAGGCACTTCCAGATGGCGGTGATGCCAGGAGTCATCCTGGCACCCGGGCATTTTCACTGGGCTGCAAGTCGCCAACAGTCAGGTGCAAAATGCGCCTGGCTAATTTTGAACGCTGGTGCCTGAAGGACATATCTGCTCAGGAGCATTCACTCCAGCAATGGCAGATAAAATCAAATAGGAAGGAAACCCAAGAGTACGGTATTTTTTGCTCTATAGGACACACTTTACCCCCTCCAAAAATGAAGGGGAAATGTGTGTGCGTCCTATGGGGCGAATGCAGGCTTTCGCTGAAGCCTGGAGAGCGAGAGGGGTCGGTGCGCACCGACCCCTCTCACTCTCCAGGCTTCAGGCAGCTATCCGCAAGCCTTCGGAGTGCGGCAGGAGTTCCCGCTGTGGTCGGAAGGCTTGCGGATAGCTGCCTGTTCTGGGGGCTGGGGTCGGGGGAAGCTCGGGCTTCCCCACCCCCAGCCCCGCAAGCTCCGGGTGCAGTGGCGAGGTTGTGCGCAATCTTGCCGCCGCTCCTGGACCTGGGGGGGGGGGAGGAATAATTCCCCCCCCTTTATTTCCCCCCTAAAAACTAGGTGCGCCCTATGGTCCGGTGCGCCCTATGGAGCGAAAAATACAGTAAGTCAAAAGGAAATCAACCGGAAGGCATGCAGTAGAAGAAAAAGGGACCCCAGCATATTTTGCTCTCTCACCGGCGCCCCCCAATAACTTGCCTAAGTGATACCTGAATAAAACAGCGCTACTAACCAGGGGTCCATAGTCTTCATGATGGGGAGTTCATATGTTTGGTAGAGTGGCTGCAGAACTCTGTATGCAGGAAAAGAGTTTCCCATTGAGATTGCGCTGAGACAACGTCTCTTCGTAGCCAACAAGTTACAGTACGCGAAAATACTACTACGACTCCACCATGAGCAATAAATCAAGTTCTACGCTAAACACATGGAAGAGGATTTTGTTTTGTTTTTTTCAATTCAGGGGAAGCTTTACATTTCAGCAGATTCATAGAAATCTCAAATCTTAATATGAAAAACAACGATAAGGTTCAACATGGGGGAAGCGGAATTTTGGTGGAGAAGTGGGTGGAAATACAAAACATTAAAAAGTTAACTTTTTTTTAAAAAAAAAAGGTGAACTGAACTTTCCCCTCTCCAGAGGGAATGAGCAAAGATGGAAACTCTCTTGCAGCTGGCTGCTTGGAACAATTGGCACACAGCTCTGATGGTTATGAACTGTTTCCATTATAACTACATGTTGCTGATAGATCTATTCACCTTCTTGGTGGGTGGCGTTGTGGCTTGGGTATCCGGGCCCTTGCAGCGACCCGGCTAGGGGGAGGGAGATTGTCGCCCCCTCTGCGCCAGCCCTGGCTGCGTCACCCCTACCTGGCCAATCTAAGCTGGCGGGGGGCATGGCCGCAGGTAATTGAAATCGCGGCGCAGCCGGGGGTTTCTCTCTCTTGCCTCCATGCCAGAACTGCTCGGACCTGCAAGGACCTTTGTTTAACAGAGGGGAGGCTGCAGCCTCTGTCTACCCCTCCTCGATAAGGGTATCCTGCTAAAAGGATCTGGAGGTGTGGATTCTGTGTGGGCATGGGCTATGCCAGGGGTCAGCAAACTTTTTCAGCCGTGGGCCGGTCCACTGTCCCTCAGACCTTGTGAGGGCCCGGACTATATTTTGAAAAATAATAATGAATGAATTCCTAACACCAGGCAGGCCCCACAAATAACCCAGAGAAGCCTTTTAAATAAAAGGACACATTCTACTCATGTAAAAACACGCTGATTCCCAGACTGTCTGCAGGCCGGATTTAGGTGATAGGGCTGGATCCGGCCCCTGGGTCTTAGTTTGCCTACCCATGGGCTAGGGCCATGCCACTAACCCAACGGGGACCCCTCGGACTGCCCTTATTTGATGTAAGTCATAGGGCTCCCCCTTCTGGTGGTTTACCCTTAGTTAGACTCCCTGCAAGGGACACTGGGTGGCGCTGTGGGTTAAACCACAGAGCCTAGGATTTGCAGATCAGAAGGTCGGCGGTTCGAATCCTCGCGACGGGGTGAGCTCCCGTTGCTCAGTCCCTGCTCCTGCCAAACTAGCAGTTCAAAAGCACATCAAAGTGCAAGTAGATAAATACGTACCGCTCCGGCGGGAAGGTAAACGGCGTTTCCGTACGCTACTCTGGTTCGCCAGAAGCGGCTTAGTCATGCTGGCCACATGACCCGGAAGCTGTACGCCGGCTCCCTCGGCCAGTAAAGCGAGATGAGCGCCACAACCCCAGAGTCAGCCACGACTGGACCTAACAGTCAGGGGTCCCTTTACCTTTAGACTCCCTGCAGGTGGGCGGGTGTCAAGTTATACAGTGGTACCTCGGGTTAAGTACTTAATTCGTTCCAGAGGTCCATACTTAACCTGAAACTGTTCTTAACCTTAAGCACCACTTTAGCTAATGAGGCCTCCTGCTGCCGCCATGCTGCTGGAGCACGATTTCTGTTCTCATCCTGAAGCAAAGTTCTTAACCTGAAGCACTATTTTTGGGTTAGCGGAGTCTGTAACCTGAAGCATATGTAACCCGAGGTACCACTGTAGCCTGGTTTCACCCAACGTCCAAGCCAATAAAATTGTGGCCTGTTTTAGCCCATAATCCCAAACACTCGTGTTGGTGTGTTTATTAATCAATGGGGAACTACAGGGCACGGGGCCTTGGCACACAAAAGAAAGCGTCCCTTGGCTTTCCTCTTTGATCAGAGAACACAACTGAAACAAAAAGGCAGGTCTCTAAACTTACTGTACCTGGCTCCAGGGTGATTTGTGGAAGACTGGTTTTGCATCAGCAGCTTCCTCTTCTCCTTATCTAGCTCTGCCAAAATCGCAACCCTGTTTTTATTCTGAAACCCTGGCAGGAGTGAGAAGAATGGAAAAGTCTATGCACTACTTCAAGCTCTCCAAAGTGAATGATAAAGAGTACAGTGGTACCTTGGTTCTCAAACAGAATGTGTTCCGGGACTCCTGGAACCATTCAAAAACCAAGGTGTGGCTTCCGATTGACTACAGGAGTGTCCTGCAGCCAATCGGAAGTTGTGCCGGACGTTGGACTTTCGGAAATCGTTCGAAAGCCGGAAGACTCACTTCCGGGTTTTGATCGTTCAGGAGATGATTTGTTTGGGAGCAAAGGCGTTTGAGAGCCAAGGTACCACTGTATTAGAGTTTGTACTGAAAGGGCTGGTGCCGTGTTGTTTTTATTGTAAAATTTTATTATAACGTAACCATGCACATAGAGGCAAAGATTACCATTTACCTTGCCCAGGAGGATTTGATGTCATCTTTCTAGTTTCCGCCTTAATTGGCTACAACGTAGTTATGGGATGAGCTACCGAAAAGAATATAAATGAACACGTGAACATAAAAGGCTCACTACTAATACAATTGTACATTAATATTCAGATTGCAGGATGCAATAGCAACATACTTTGTAAAATGCTTATGAAAATGTTGAGTAGCAGGTATGCTATACGCAAAGATGGTGTGAATTGGGGCCACCTATTGGGTACACGTGACCCCCTTATTGGAACAACTACACTTGGTTTGGATTGGTTTTCCAGGGACAGTCCCAGATTTATAGAAGCCGCCCCGCTTTCTGATCCTGGAATGTCCTGCAAAACTGTATTAAGGTAAAGGGACCCCTGACCATTAGGTCCAGTCGTGGCTGACTCTGGGGTTGCGGTGCTCATCTCGCTTTATTGACCGAGGGAGCCGGCGTACAGCTTCCAGGTCATGTGGCCAGCATGACTAAGCCGCTTCTGGTGAATCAGAGCAGCACACGGAAACGCCATTTACCTTCCCACCGGAGTGGTACCTATTTATCTACTTGCACTTTGACGTGCTTTCGAACTGCTAGGTGGGCAGGAGCAGGGACCGAGCAACGGGAGCTCACTCCGTCGTGGGGATTCGAACCACCGACCTTCTGATCGGCAAGTCCTAGGCTCTGTGGTTTAACCCACAGCGCCACCAGCGTCCCCTGCAAAACTGTAGGACATCCCTATTTTCCTCAGGGAAATACTGGAGGGCATGGAGCTATTCAGTCATCTGGAAGCACCCCAAGTTTTTAAAATGTTCAGTGTTTTATTATGTTTTTATATACGTTAGAAGCCGCCCAGAGTGGCTGGGGCAGCTCAGTCGGATGGACGAGGTATAAGTAATAAAAGTATTGATTACGGAACAGGACATCCCTCTTTTCATTGGAGAAATGTTGGAGGGAATTTCATTCCATGGTTCACTTTTCGGACTACAACTCCCATCAGTGCCAGCAACTGATGGAAGAAGCTGTAGTGCAAGCTGTCTTGCAGGGTGCCTGGACTAGGGAATCCGCGAAGGGGAATCTTACAGGTAGCATTGCGGTTGCTGCTTTCGGCTCACCTCCAGCAGGTGGGTGGAGTCCCTAAGTGAAAGCATAAAAATAGACAGCTCCAAGCACCTGGCGATGGATACAGTCCGCATTCACCCACATCCTCCTTGCCGCTGGACTGCTCCGTTTCTCTCACGCCACCCCCTTTAGCTGCCCAGATGGACTCTGCTGCCTCCCCCCTTTGGCTGTCCAGGTAGACTCTCCCAAACCTCCTTTGGCTCTACAGATAAGACTCTGCTGCTCCCCCTTTGGCTGTCCAGATGGATTCTCCCGCCCCCCCCTTTGGATGTTCACGTGGGCTCTCCCAAACCGCCTTTGGATCTACAGATAAGACTCTGCAGCTCCCCCTTTGGCTGTTCAAATGGACTCTCCCGCCCCCCTTTGGCTGGCTAGATGGACTCTCCCAAACCTCTTTTGGCTCTAGAGGTAAGAATCTGCCACTCCCCCTTTGACCGCTTCTCTTTCGTTGGACAAATGGACTCTACCACCCTCCCCCTTTGGCTGCCCAGATGGACTTTCCCGCCCCCTTTGGTTGGACGAATGGACTCTCCCGCCCTTCCTCCTCTGGCTGCCCAGATGGACTTTACCACCCCCCTTTGGTTGGACGAATGGAGTCTCCCGCCCCTCCCCCCATTGGCTGTCCAGATGGACTCTTCCTCTCCCCGTTTTAGGGGCTCTTTCTTCCCCGCTCACCTGCTCCCGACTTCATTGTCACGCGCGCCGCCTTAACGAGGCGGGGCCAGGAAACAAGCCCCGCCTTCGCTTCCCCGACCACCCCTGACTAAGAAAAGGGTAGAGTGACACGCAGCGTCCAGCTTACGGGATGAGCTGGAGTTTCCGCTTAGCGAAGGCTTAGCCAGCTGGGTCTCCACTGGCAGGGAATTCCAAAGGCGCCGCCCAAGGAAGCGGGTATTCTGCGGCGGCGCCTGCGAAAAGTATTAGTAGTCCAAGTGTCTCTTCAGCGGTCAGCGTCTGAAAAAACCCCCACCTTGTTATTCTCCCCCCCCCTAATATTCTTTATTGGTTTTGATTTGCACACTCCACATACACATATTGTATTACATTTCACATTTACACCTGCTTCCCAGAGCCGACTTTCCTCCTTCCCTCTTCTGGCCTTTTATATCACATCTAACTTTTTCGCATTGTCTTCATCTCTTTTGTATATTATTGTTCTTCTTTTGTATTTGTCCTTCGAGTGTCTATTGTCAAATCCTACTGTATATGCAGTTCTTATTGTCTGCCTATATTCAATTACAATTACCATTGTTTACACTGATCACATTGTACATTTTACTTTTTTGTTATTTTTCTTATCCAGAAATTTTCTTTGTATTTCACATTATGAGGTTTATTTCAGTTCTACTGGTTTCACTATTCCGCCTTATCCTTCCTATGTATGACATAATTTTTTCCCACTCTTTTTGAAATGTTTCATCACCCTGTTGTCAAATTTTCCCCGTTAATCTAGCTATTTCTGCATATTCCATTACTTTCTGCCGCCATTCTTCTAATAATAATAATAATAATAAATTTTATTTATATCCCGCCCTCCCCAGCCGAAGCCGGGCTCAGGGTGGCTAACAACAATCAAATAATCAAACAGTCAAATAATCACACATTCTAAAAATATTTCATTATAAAAATTAATTAAAATCAAATTGATGGCAACCGATTAAGCAAAATTCTGTGCAGGTTGCCAGAGGAGGGAGTCAGGCTGCGCCCTGACCAAAGGCCTGGTGGAACAACTCTGTCTTGCAGGCCCTGCGGAAAGATGTCAGGTCCCGCAGGGCCCTAGTCTCTTGTGACAGAGCATTCCACCAGATTGGAGCCGCAGCCGAGAAGGCCCTGGCTCTAGTTGAGGCCAGCCTAACCTCTCTGAGGCCTGGGACCTTGAGGATGTTATTATTTGCAGACCGTAGGTTTCTCTGTGGGGCATACCAGGAGAGGCGGTCCCGTAGGTACTTGCTGTTGTTTCCAAACCCACCTTGTTATTCTCATGCTATATCTCATGATCCTCGTGGATGCCCTGAGCTGAGATTCCTGCCTTGCAGTGGGTGGGACTAGATGGCCCGTGGGGTCTCTTCCAGCTACAGGATCCGGCAACTCTACACCACAGGCTGTGGCTTAAAACATCCTTACAACTGGAACAGAATATTGCAGGGGTAGGGTGGGAGGGGACTCAGCCCCTAGGAGTTAGGCTCCTGTGCATAGCTGTCAACCTTCCCTTTTTTTGCGAGAAATTCCCATATTCCAGCGCCGTTTCCCGCTGCTTCCCACTGCTATCCCAGATTGTTAGATATCCCGTTGACTGTCCCCGGGACAGGTGAGGCTGCTGATCCCTTCTTTTCAAATCTGAAAGTTGACAGCTATGCTCCTGTGCTGGCCACGCAGTCCTTGCAAGCATGAAGCCAGGACCATGCAAGAAGCCACAGAGCAGGATTCAGTTACACTGAAAGCAGGGCCGGATTTAGGTTGGATGAGGCCCTCAGCTACTGAAGGTAATGGGGCCCTTTCTATGTCCAGCTGTCCTTTGTCCACAACAAATTGCCGCTGTTTTTTGTGTAGAATACAGTGGTACCTCGGGTTACATACGCTTCAGGTTACAGACTCCGCTAACCCAGAAATAGTGCTTCAGGTTAAGAACTTTGCTTCAGGATGAGAACAGAAATCGTGCTCCGGCGGCATGGTGGCAGCAGGAGGCCCCACATGCTAAAGTGGTGCTTCAGGTTAAGAACAGTTTCAGGTTAAGAACGGACCTCCGGAACGAATTAAGTACTTAACCTGAGGTACCACTGTATATGCTACATGGTCATTTATGGACCTCATAGGCATCTAAAGCCATTTGCACATAACAAAGTATGTATTTTATCAAAGTAAGTGTTGAGCTGAAATACAATTATGAAGTATATTAATAGTGAAATACAATTAAGAAGAAGTATATTACTAGTGAAATAATTGTTAATCTCTAACTTAAATTGGTTTTTATTCATAACTAACTTAATAATGCAAACACATTGGCATTTAGCAAGAACCAAAGTTCCTTTAGAAACACAATTTACACTCATAATCTACGGTAGTCTCTTGAAACTTGCTATAACATGAAATAATAATGGGTGTAAATATATGATGCAAACTACTAATAATTATAAATAACAGAATGTAGGCACCCTATATATAGAAAGGGGCAAACCAGGGATATTTTAGGGAGCAGGCTAGCAGGCGGGGCCCATGACTTACAAAACACTGTTGCTGTATGTAGGATTTATTTTATTTGTTTTTCATCTTATATTTTGGAATGGTACATCCAGGTTTTTCCCTCTTAAATTTTTTTGGGGGGCCCCCAAGAGAGTGAGACCCTAAGCTAGAGCTTGTTTAGTTTATACATAAATCCAGCACTGATTGAAAGCCCGAGGGAGATTTTCCCCCTCCGTTGCTAGGGAGCAGTTTCCACTTTCCGCCTGCGGAAGAGCCTCGCGCATCAGGCAGACACTTAACTAGGAGCCCCTCTAAACTTTTCGTAGCTCTACGCCAGCGTGCCTCGTTGAGAGTCGGGTACAGTATATGTCTCCGGCAAGCAGTGCATGCTGGGAACTCGGATGCCGGTTTCCCCCCATTGGCTGGAGCCGCGCATATTTCTTTTTGATTGGCTGGCGCGCGGCTCGCCGCCCCTCCCGGTTTTCTTTTTTGGCGGTTTGAGCCTCAATGGCGGCGCGTGTGGTGGGCGAGGCGGCGGCGGCTGAGGCTGAAGAAGAAGGGCGCCTCTGAGAGGAGCTGAAGGGCTTGGCGAAGGCGGAACCCTTGAGGAAGAGCAGAGCGCTGACGCGGAGGATATACCTACACGTGAGGAAAGGAAGACACGGGTCAGCCCCGGCTCGCCTCGCGGCCATGAGCGCGCAGCACCTCTCGCCTCCTCCCGCCTGGGAGAAAGAGCACCTCTGGCTCTACCTTCTGGCGCTGGGCTTCGACCCGGAAAAAGCCGCCGCCGGGAGGGTCTCCACGCATCTCGGCCTGGGCGTGTGAGTGGGCCTTTTTTTCTTTTTTCTTATAAACTGACCTTTGTTTAATGCTGCGTTCCCCAAATTTGGGTTGCCGGCAGGCTTTTGGACTACAACTCCCATTGTCCGCAGCCTCCCTTGGAGGTTTCTTAAGCAGAGGTTGGGGGCCCCCCAAATTTCACTACAGTATTAATATACTTTTTCTTAATTGCATTTCAGTTTAATAGTGGTATTTCAGTTCCACAGTTAATTTGATAAAATACATATTTTGTGATGTGCAAATGGCTTTAGGTACCGATTTGGCCCATAAATTACCATATAGCACATATTCTTTTATATATCTGTACAGTGGTACCTCAGGTTACATATGCTTCAGGTTACACAATCCGCTAACCCAGAAATAGTGCTTCAGGATGAGAACAGAAATCCGGCTCCGGCGGCGCTGCGGCAGCAGTAGGCCCCATTAGCTAAAGTGGTGCTTCAGGTTAAGAACAGTTTCAGGTTAAGTACAGACCTCCAGAACGAATTAAGTACTTAACCTGAGGTACCACTGTATATCTATGTCTATATATTTATATCTAAGTATTACTGTTTTTTTAACATATCATTTTCAACAATTACTAAACATACTTTTATATCTTATACAATTTTTTTTTACTTCCATCAATCACATCTGAAAATTTTTCAATCTTTCTCATTTAATTTACATTTCTTGCTTTCACTATTACATAAATATCATAACTAATACGTCTCTTCTTTCTCTTCTTTGCAATATTTCATATATTCCTCCTTACAAAACTTCTTGTAGTCCTACCAGCGTAATTTGTTGATTACAGTTGCTCTTCAAATAATTCGTAAATTTCTTCCAATCGTCTGTGAATCTCTGGCCCCGCAGGTTTCGAATAATCCCTGTCATTTTATCCAATTCTGCGTAGTCCATTAATTTCGTCTGCCATTCTTCTTTCATCGGTATTTCTTCTTGCTTCCATTTCTAGGCCAACATTATTCTTGCCGTTGTTGTTGCGTATAAAAACAGTTTAATATCCTGTCTATTAATGTCCTCGACCATATAGCATATATTCAACGCAAGAAACAGCAACAATTTGTTGTTGACAAAGCACAGCTGGACATATAAATGGCCACATTACCTTCAGAAGCTGAGGGCCTCATTAAACCTAAATCCGGCCCTGTCTGCCACGGAGCTTTAGTTGAGATTCCTGCATTGCAGGGGGTTGGTCTGGATGACCTTAGGGGTCCCTTCCCACTGTACAATTCTGTGTCTCCGTGATGGGTATTGTACAGTAGTTTGAAAGCAGCTGGAGACCCACTGGTTTAATGGGTGTACATCTCACACAAGTTCCTAGAAGCAACAGCGCTGGTGAGGTTGGGGGGTTAAAATGCTATGGGGGTTTATTCGAGTATATTATTTATGGTAGTGGTTTTTTGAAAAATATACGGTACCGTCTTAAAAATGAAATACTCGTGTGCCTTAAGCACATCTCTGGTGGGCAAATGCTGGTAGATGAAGTTTTCCCATCACTGCACCTCTCTACCTTTAAATTAAAAAACAATGTCCATGTTCATGCAAATTGTATTTACCGACACTTAAATGGATCATGGGAAAGAATAGTGCAGGACTGTTGCCTTGTAGCACTCCTGTAAGTTTTAAATGTGCTATTATAAGAGGGGGAATAAAGCATGGTTGGATGTTAATCCCATTTCTTACTCCAAAAAACAACAACCTGCTTCTCTATAAATCTTATTATTTTGTGAGCTGCTATCAGTGCATTGAA